CAGCATCACTGCTGAGTCTGACTTTTTATTTAGATGTAGAGGACCGATTGAGACAGTGTCTCGCTGTGTAGTTTAAGCTGGTCTTGAGCTCATTATGTAGCCTCAAACATGCCACAATCCTCCTGCCTCAGTCTCCCAAGTGCTAGGATTATAGATGTGCACCACCATGCCCAGCTAATTGTAGAGAATTTATAAGCTTGATTGAATGCCATTACAGAAGCAGGTCCTGTGGCTGTACGTCACACTCCCTCCTCATGTGTGCTTCTCCTTGGCCCCACCCCCTCCTCTGTTGTCTGCTCTCTGGGCTTTCTGCCTCCACACAGCCTTCAGGAGCACTCTTCACAGAGCTGCCATCCTTTCAGAGTGAAAACCTGATTGCACTTCCTTGTTGTAGGATGCTTCTAGTGCCTTAGGAGACCTCTCTCTCCCTGGCTCTATTCCTTGCTCTGGGGCCTGGGCTCTCCTCCACCTCATCCTGTTTTTCTTTCCCCCCCTTTTTTTTTCTCTCTTGGCCTCTCAGGGGCTGTCTTAAATCCTGGAACTGGCTGAGCTGATTCCTTTGCCTCCCCTCCTCCCTTGGCCTGGAATGTTCTGTTTTCCTGCTGACTTTTCCTTATTTTCACTGTGTCCCCTTAAAATGACATGGGAGGCCCCCAGGATTCCTTTGCAGCTCTCTGCATGTGCGCAGCTATATTTTCTTTGGAATTTGTAGCTTGCTAAGGTTTGCTATCCTTCTCTGTTAGGAGCTGTACTCATGTCTGTGGTCTTTTATTGTCCCCAGTACTTTGATCAGTCACTGCCTTGTGAGGTATTCAGGAATCGGCAGTGTGTGTGGGGTGCACTTGTATGAACACATCTGTGTGCATGCACAGGTACTCATGTGTGCAGGGGGGTGGGGTGTAGGCTCTGATATGGAGGGATGACCTCATTGCCTGTGGAGAAGAATCCCTGTGGGGTGTCCTGAGAGGCAAGAGGGGAGGAAATCTAGACTGGGTTCATGATATGGACAGGGCTTGGTCAGCAGTGTTATGGAGGGATGTTTCTCTTAAATTTGGCATTTTCAGAAATCATTAATAACCTAGTTTTATAATTTCAGAGACATTTAAAAATTATAAAATGAATGTAGTGTGCATGTGTGTATATATAAGGAAAACGTCTGTGTATGTCTATACAGGCACAATTTTAAAAATCTGAATATTGTCAGTATGGAATCCATACTATAAAGGGGCCACTTTACCTTCCAATTGAATTTACAAATTGTCAATATTTTGCTATATTTTCTTTCTCCCCCTCTGACTCTCCCTCTGTTTCTCTTTCTGTTTCGGTGTCTCTCTCTCACACACACGTACACACACATGTGTACACACACCACATTTAGGAGTTTTAAAATAACCCAAGCCAGGTGTAGTGGTCCACATCTGTAATTCCAGGGGAGGCTGAGGCAGGAGGATCGCTGTGAGTCAAAGCCAGCCTGAACACAAAGCAAGATCCTGTCTTAAAAAAAAAAAAGATAGCACAGTCTATAGTCAGATGTTATTGTAATCATCTTTATAGTTTTTTTCTTTTAGTCCAGGTTCCAGTGGAAGGTCATGCATTTAATATGTTTCTTTAATTTTCTTTCTTTGCATTTAATATGTTTCTTTAATTTTCTTTCATCTGAAACAGTTCCTGGGTTGTTTTGTTTTTTGGATTTTTAAGACATGTACACTTTTGAGGAGTCTAGGTTGTTTTCCAGGATGTCCCTTAATTTGGGTTTGGTTGCTTCCTTATGGTAGCATTCAGGAAATGTTTTCAGTGGCAACACTGTCAGCATGAGAGATATAGCGTCCTTTTCAGGCTGGTCACATAGGAAAGTGCATAGGACTGTATGTCCCACTGTTGGTGTGTTAAACTCGATCACCTGGAGCAGGTTGAATCTGCCAGGCTTCTTCACTCTATATAAAGGTTTATATATTTTCCCCACTGACTATTCTTGCCTGTATCACTTATTATCATGGTGGTTATAAAATGGCCATTTTTTCTCATTCCTTTCACATTTATCAGTTTACATTCTTCTGTAAAGAAGAATTACCTTTTCTTTATCCTATTTTTAACTATCAGCATGGGTTTAACAGAATTTTACTTTCATTCAGTGAATTAAAATCAATTCCAGTTATTAATTTTGATGTCCAGATTTGGCCAGTGAGAGCTCTTTCAGGTTCACTTCTGTTTGTTTCCATTTATCTTTGAGCATTTCCTTATTTTCTGGCATAGAAAGGTATTCCCGGTTCAAATTTGGTACCGGAGATTGAACTCGGGAACTTGCACTTGGAAGGCAGGTGATGTCTTGGTTCAAATTTGGAACTAGCTGTTTTCCAAAGAACCCTGGTTCCTTTGAATGAAGAATGAGGTGTAGAAACCAAGATTTTGGTTTTGTTTGTTTGTTTGTTTGTTTTTGTTGTACCGGGATCAAACTTGAGACCTTGCGCTTGCAAGACAGGTGCTGGAACCACTGAGCTAAATCCCCAGTCCAAGATTTTGGTTTTGTCCATTGCTGATGGAGTATCATTTCTTTTGAGGCCTAGCAATACACAGATTTTCAAAATAATAGTGATCTAGGAAACTCTTACTTAATAGAATGCCATATAATAAATGAGAAGGAATGACTGAGGTAAGAAGATCACCATTTGGACAACTGTTGTAATACTTTTTTTATTTTGGTACCAGAGATCGAACTCGGGTCTTTGCGGTTGCGTAGCTGTTGTAATATTAACAACTGATTTTTTTTTTAAACAACTGATTCTAAAAAGAATCATCAATAGATGATAAAATTCCTGGCTGAAAATTTGATGAGGAATATTTACAAAGCCTTGAAATATGTACCACAAGACATCTACTAAAAAGGAAGAAATAGTTACAATAGATAACACTATTAACTGTCAGACACTACATTAACACATTCCCACTGGCTTGAGGTACTGGTGATACATGCATGACTGTCCCATCAGGCGGCTTATACCACCCAATGGGACTGTCCCATGCTACCCAATGGGAGTCATGCACATACCACCAGTGGTTCAGAGCCACCCAGCAGTGGGACACATGAATTACAGCCCTGTTGTGAATGTCTCAACCAAGTGACAATTTAACATCACCTATGATGGACATAGGAACACAGTGTGCCTCCTGATGTGTTCTAACTGGGGACTGTGTAATTAGAGGCTGATACTTCTTACAGTTACTGTTATTATCTGAAGACAAGAGCTTTAATCCCAGCCTTGGGAGGATTCTTTGTCCTTTTCTCTTTGGGACAGATTGTCTTTTCTCCTCTGGTTTGGGGCAGTACCCCTTTCTCTCAGCTACTTTGTAATGCTGGGAATCTTCACCCAGCAAACTTGAGCTATCTTTGACTCCCACCTGATATTTGAGAACAATATGTGAGACTCACCAAAAATCAGCACCCAGAGGAGCTCTGGGAGACCTGCTGCTGCTTCCACCTCACCCTCAGCTGTTGTTCACTGACAGACACTGTGGATGCTGCCTCTTGCTGCTTCGAGCTGGTGGGGGGCACTGCCAACCTTCTGTTCTGCTACTGTGTTCTTCACATATTGTTCTTAACTGGCTGAAGGACAAGTGGCATCTCTTCTGACCACATTTACAGGAGGCAGTGGGCTCTGCTCAGGCCTCGCCAGAGCCATCATCTAATTTCAAACATACTAGAAATTGTTCAAGTGGATGGGAAGCCCTCAGGACCCAGGGAAGTTCTGGTGACTGACCATACCTTGTTTTCTTGTGGAGGTGGCTGCTGAGCCTTCTTCAGAGGGGTGGCAGGCTCCAGCTATGGCCATGTGAGGAAACAAGGCACCTGCCTTATCAGTGCATTACCACAGGTGGTGAAGAGGGGCCTTCTTTGCACTCCTAGACCTGAATATCATGTAGTAAAATCAAATAACAAATGGTCTTTTTGTATAGGAATGATTTTATTGTTCCTTAAATGTTTGCTAAAATTCATTAGTGGAGGCACCTGGGTCATGGGTTTCTTTTATGGAAGAGTTTTTCAGTACTGGACTAGAGATCAAACCCAGGGCCTGTGCTTACTAGGCAAGTGTTCTACCACTGAGCTACATCCCTTGCCCTTTCTATCTCATTTTTGATATCAGGGTATGGATCAGTTGCCCAGGTTGGCCTTGAGCTTGTGGTCTTCCTGCCTCAGTCTCCCGAATAGTTGGGAGTATAGGTATTTGCCACTGCATCCAGCTTCTACTGTATTTCTTTGATACAGTGCTGTTCAAAAATTCTATTTCTTCTTCTGTTCATGAATACTTTTTAAATTTTTTAATTAATTAATTTTGTTTGTGGTGCTGAGGATCAAACTCTGGGCCTCACAGATGCTCAGGGTCACTGCCCAGAGTTGTTTCCTTGAGGGTCTGAACTAGGAGCAGCCTGAGAGCTGGGGATTGATCTCTGAGGCTGAGAAGATGGCCTGGTTTCAGCTGTGGGCTACAGAGCCAGAGCAGGAGGCTCTGCCCCAGAAGTAGGCCAGCAACTTGTCATGCACCTCTCGCTGGTCCCCATCCCTTCATTATGTAACCTCAGTGTTCACACTGTTTCTTTCTGTTGATTCCTTCCATGTGACTGTTTTTCTATTAATCTCCTTAGCTAATGAGCTCTTTAAGGAGAATGAATGATCTGAGCATAACTCCACACACAGTGCTGGGGCACAACCATCTCCCAAAGTGTGGACTTTCCCAGAACACCCATTTAGTGAGGGTCTTCAAAGGCTGGCCTTGTTCCTGCTTTGTTTATAAAAATAAAAGATGCTTGTTTTCTGTTTTCACTTCTGTTGCCTTCATTTACTTTCTTACACTCAGGAAGCTGCCCTGCTTCTTGCCTCACTGCAGTGCATGGCACCACTACAAGAGATCAATGACTGGCACAGGGGCCAGGGAATGACAAGATGTGGCTCATGCCTTTCAGGAACATTCTGGGAGATGGACACATACATAATGCAGATGTAAGAATGTTGGAGCCTGCAGCTGGGGGTGGGGTGGGGTGGGAGAGAATGGAACACAGTTGGAAGAGGGAAATGAGAATATGGGCAGGCCATTTCCTGACATCCCTTGGGAAATGTTAGGGACTCCAAGGGTTGGCTCTCCTAGTATCCTGTGCAGTGCAGAAACATTTGCCTGCTTTCTACAGCATTCCTGTCTTCTTCTCTGTGTCCAGGTCAAGGCATGTTGGTCCCATGGAGGCCAGCTATATCCTACCAGCACCTAGCTAGTGCGTCTTTCACCCTAGGGAGGAGGTGCTCATGGTCGCTATGGCAACCTCTGCCCTCTATGCTTTGGCTCTTTTAACCTTCCTTCTGCCACAGCTGAGGCAATTAGTGTCCCTCCACATGTGCCTTGGACCCTGCATCGTCCAGCCTCCTCAGTCTTAGCTTCTTTCATCACCTGATCTTTCTTTTTTTTGGTACTAGGGATCAAACTCGGGACCTTGTGCTTGCGAAGCAGGCAATGGAAGCATTGAGCTAAATCCCCAGCCCTACCTGATCTTTCTTTCTGCATTCTCTCTACAGATCATTTTCATCAGCTTCCTAACACTCACCATTCCCTTAACCGTAATTGCCTTGCAACCCACCCTTCTCTTAAATCCCATTCCTGTAAATTTTTACACACTGGGAGGAAAAACCCTTAGGATTCCTTGATTTTTAATCTTTCTACATCTAATCCATCTTCAAGACCTGTTGGTTCTCCCTCCAAAGTGCTTATCCACTTGCATCATCTTGGCTGTCACTCTGGTCCAAGGCAACATTTTCTCTTGATTCACCTACTGAAATAATTTCCTAACTGACCTCTACTTCTCTTTTTACTCCCCTGAAGTCCAGTCTTCAAACTGTGGCCAGGTGAGCTTTAGACAACAAAAACTGGTGCCATGGCTTTCACTTATGAGCCTCCAATGGCTCCCATGGCCTATGAACTGGCTCCTGACTCATCTAGGCTAATTCGTGTTTCTTTTTGCTTTCGGAAAGTAATATTCTTTCCTTCTGAGACCGGGGTATGCACTGTTCTTGGAATGTTTGTGCAAAGTTTTCTCTTCTTCTCATCCATTAGCTTTCCACATAAGAGAGGCCTTCCCTGATAACCAATATATAGCATAGTCCTCCTTGGCTTTCTATCCCTGCATCCTACTCAATCTGGTACGGCTGAACCCATCCCAATTCAGGGTGAAACATTTGTGTTTACTTCTTGATTTTGTTTCTTCCACTAGCTTATATTCTATGAGGGCAGAGATTGAGTTTCCAGTACCTCACAGAATGTGGTACAAGGGATGAACTCTTTGGAATAATGAACCAGCAGAGGTGGTGATGGGAGTCCAGAGAGGCCTGTGGCCAGCTGCTCCTCTCATAAGATCGACTGTTTTTTCTTTCCTTACATAAGACACTTTGCCATAAAGAGTTATGTACATGTGCAGGACACAGCAGTTTTGAAATGGTTACATGTAGGTGGATTCCTCCCATAGATGTAGCGGGAAGCTACTTCCATGAGCACTCTGTACAGGTTATTCTGTATCTAATATTCCCTTTAAAGTAAAATAAAAGGCAGTACAATATAGTGCGAGGAACACAGGCTTGGGAGTCCTGACTTAGTTTTTGATCTTTGGTTTGTATTGGCTTATTACATTCAAAGACTTTGTATCTCTGTTTCATTTGTGAAATAGTGGGAGCTGAACTAGAGAGATGAAAATCCCCTCCAGAATGTATGCTTTGGGCTGCAGGTAACAGAATACCTTACAGTGGTATAAGAAATCAGGATATTTATCTCTTGAACAAGTATATGGAGCCATGATGGTTCTAGGGTTGGGCTGGTTGTTCAAAGATGTCAAGGACCTGAGATTTTTTCTTCTGCTTTGCCACTGGCTGTATTTTCAGGCTTCTCCTTCATGGTCACAAGATGGCCACTACAGTTCTGGGCATCACAGCCTCCTACACAAGCATCAAAGGCAGAAAGGGATGGGCATGAGGACAAAGCTCTTTATGGATCTTTTCCTTTTAACAGGAAATATAATCTTTCCTTGAAGAGCCCTAGCAGTCTTCCTTTTAGGTCTTATTTGCTGGTCAGAACCATCTTACCCAAGACCAGCAAGAGAATAGAAGCACCATAATTTACTTACCCCAAATATAATCTACCCACTAGGGCTGACCTGTAATCAGCTGTACTCAACTCACTGGAGTCCTGTGAAGGGCAGGGTGGGGAAGCAGGCTATGGACCTGGATTCCAAGTGCTTGGCCTTTAGGCTTCCTTGTTATTCTCCAGGAACTAATTGTGTTATTCATTTCTCTAGTGAGGCAGTGGTAAGGAGAAACATTTTTTTTTTAAAGAAAGGCTTTACATTCCCAAATAAGGAGGGAAGCAAAATATATTTGGAAATAGATGGATTCATTGGTCAAGAAAAATTCAGGGAGTAACTGAGCCCAGGTGGCCCCCAACTGAGTTTCCTCTTGTTCAGAGATGCCCTCATGGGGAGCAGGAAAGATTACAGATCACTATAAATTATGAGGCAAGACCTCAGCAAAGTATACCGGTTCTCTTGCCTATCAGGATCACAGCGTCAAGTACTCCTTGTAAAGTAAGTAAAATCTTGCTTTAAAGTGAAGAATGTATCTGTAGTGGCCATATTATCAAGAACCTATATGTACCAGGCACTGTGTTAGAGCTTGGGGATACCAGTACAAAGGGACATGGCCCTAGTCTTCAGGAGGTTGGCATTCCAGTTAGGGTTAGGCTTTATGACAAGCGTATGTTTGTGTGTATGTTCTGCCTAAGAGGTGACCCTTGGAAAAGGAACAGGCATTTTGGCTGAGCTTGAGTTAAGGGGATCATAATCTAGAAGGGAGCCATTGTTAGGAAAGACAGGGACTGTGTATGTGACACTAAGGTCTGGAGGACTCTGCAGGCCAATCTGAGAATTTCACACTTTACTGTATAGGCATAGGAAACTGAACTAAAGATAACTCTAAAGTGCACAAATCAGGGTATTTTCTAGTTTTTCTGCTAGAGGTTACTAAAATATTTTATTTCATTTACTTAATACATTACATTGAATATACTGACTTATACATTACATACATAATATGGGCCACTTATTAATATTTATTTCCCAATTTTATTAACTGTGCTGTTAGCAGTTTCCTATAGATAGATGTACTGCCAGAACTTTTGTTCTCCAGTAGTTTGTAGAGATATTCAGAAATGATTCTGCCCATACTAGAAGGCAAACTTCCTAGTTTATTTGTGGAAGAAGAGGATTCTTGCCCAGAGCTGCAGAAGTGTGCTGCCTGGTTCCAGGGGCTCTAAAGCTCATTTCATCAGGCTTGTGTTCAAATGTCATTTTATCAGTGAAGCTTCTCTTGACTGACTTCTTTATGATCCCTGGCAGTCTTGATCTTCCTTTACTCTTTTTCTTTTTCATACCATGTGGGTCTCCACTGCTATTTATGTCTGTTAATTATATTTCCCCCACTAGCATGTAGGTCCTTTAGCATTTTTTTTTTTTTTTTTGGTACCGGGGATCAAACTCGGGTCATTGATAGGTCCTTTAGCATTTAAAAGGGATCTTGGTTTGTTCTGTTCACTGGCTAGAATAGCACCTCACAGAAGGCCTAGACTCAAAGGTCAGTATGGAGATAATTAGCAAATACCTCTTTCAGACATCTGTCTTAGTTACTTTTCTCATTACTGAGACAAAATACTATCTTAGTTACTTTTCTCATTGCTGAGACAAAATACACCCAAAGTTAAAGGAGGAAAGGTTCACAGTTTGTAGAGGTTTCAGTCCATAATTGGCTGGCTCCAAAGCAGGATGCCATCATAGAGGAGGAACAGTTCATGGTGGGCAGAAGGCAGCAAAGCAACAAGGAATAAGACAAGCCTCTTTTTGTCCTTTATATTGTATCCAGACTACTGGGATTAGGGTGGTACCAGACCAATCAGTGGACTGGTTTAGTAATCACACAGCCTTAATCCTAGCACCCTTAATCTTAGCATTGCATCATGAATCAATCACACACTGTAGATTCAGCTGCCTCTGAAAAATCCCCACCTATGATCGCATGAGGTTTTGGGGGAACATCTAGAACCAAACCATAACAACATCTAACCCCTTGTTGCTGACCTTCTTTGTCACTAAACAGAAATGTGTTATTAAGAGTGAAAATTTTACTGAGCTTTTTAGAGCAAAGTTGCTTACTCCTGTGTGTCTCTAGTGTTGAGGGTGATCCCATGATGCCCTGGAGGGTGAGCCTTATAGGATGTTAGGGCAGAACAAAAGTAGAAGTGAGCTCCTGGGCTTTAGGTGCAGAGTACTGTAAACTGACTGTAACAAGTGATGTTCTTTTGAACAGGTATAAAAGTTTGGTCACTGGGAGCCGAGCAAGAGGGGTCATTGCTGTCCTGTGGGTCCTTTCCTTTGCCATTGGACTGACCCCATTCCTGGGGTGGAACAGTAAAGACAGTGCCACCAACAACTGCACAGAGCCCCGGGATGGAGTCACAAATGAAAGCTGCTGCCTTGTGAAATGTCTATTTGAGAATGTAGTCCCTATGAGCTACATGGTGTATTTCAATTTCTTCGGGTGTGTCCTGCCCCCACTGCTCATAATGCTGGTGATCTACATCAAGATATTCATGGTAGCCTGCAAGCAGCTTCAGCGCACTGAGCTAATGCATCCCTCGAGGACCACCCTCCAGCGGGAGATCCATGCGGCCAAGTCACTGGCTATGATCATGGGGATTTTTGCTCTATGCTGGCTACCAGTACATGCTATCAACTGTGTCACTCTTTTTCAGCCAGCTCTAGCTAAAGATAAGCCCAAGTGGGCAATGAACACAGCCATTCTCTTGTCACATGCCAATTCAGTTGTCAACCCCATTGTGTATGCCTACCGGAACCGAGATTTCCGCTGTACTTTTCACAAAATCATTTCCAGGTATGTTCTCTGCCAAACAGATATCAAGAGTGGAAATGGGCAGGCTGGAACCCAGCCTGCTTTCAATTTGGGATTATGACCTAGGCTGTGGCCTCCTGGAGAGAAGGCACAGATCCAAAATAAACAATGGGACAGGATATGACCGGCTGATTCTCACTGTGAAAAATAGCCATAGCCCACGAGCATATGGCTGCCTCTTTTGAGTACTTGCCTAAAGTTACATGTCTCTAGCTGATATGTGCATGCTATTAGTAGGCTTCAAGTATTGACAAATGTATTTATGTTCCTATTTGCCTGCTTTTAGTGTATGGATGATGCTGACAGCTTGAATGGATTCTAAAACTTTGGAAGAGTCTGCCTCATTCATGGTCGAAAATGACTGAAACTACTGTGAAATACTGTGAACTATTATACTGCAAATATTTTTTAATGTAGAGGCAGAGGAAAAATAAAAATTGGCTGCACTAATCTATATTTGTTCTCAGGAGGGTAATCAAGAATACTAAAAGTATGACTCTTCAAACAAGAAACTGCCATATTTAGGGAATGGTATTCTCCTAAGTTCTTAAGTAGAATTATCATCAAGTAACAAATGTAAGCTCTGTTCTTTTCCATACACAAAACACTACTGCAGCGGAAGAAAGTGTAAAAATGGGATCCCTCCTTATCAGATTCTCCTTCCTAGAGCTAGGTACTGAATTGTGTTTCTCTCCCAAGTTCAATTTTAGTGAAATTGTTGGACCCAAAGTGTGAAAATTTTACTAAGCAAAATTATAAACTGTGTATATTCTGTGAAATAAAGTTTTTTGTTTAAAAAAAAAGTTTAGGATGTTGCACTGGCATGTTATACACAACTGCATCTACTGTCTAGATAATACACAGTACTCTAAAGGCTGATTTAAAAAATAAGTTTATACTCATTCCAAGTTCAAGTGGCAGAAAATTCTTGATAGATTTTTGTTTCTGCACTGCAACATAATACAAGGCTCTGCCAACCACAAAACATTGTAACAAGCACAGCCTTGAGCTCTTCACCCAGCATTTGTTCACTAGCATCTTGTGTTTGAGGGCACAAGGATAGGGGGAATCAGATAGTAGGTATTTCATCTGTCCACTGCTTCAGTTCCTGCAAGGACACTGCTGGTTCCCTCCAGAGATGGGAATTCCTGTCCCCTAAGATTCTCTTCTTGTTGTCCACAACCTTACCTATTAAGAAAGTCTTGCCCCAGGCTGAACAGTGTCTCATTTTCATCTTTATCTTATTGTTGCTCCTTAGCTTTTAGGGTCTGAGTCTCTTATCGCTCCCTTTAAAAATCTATTCTGTCTATTCTTCTTTAGACTGAAAATCCACAGCATCTCTAGCTTTGTTCTAGGACATGATTTTTAATTTGTGCCTTCATTTCTACTGTTAAGAAGCTGAGAAATACATGCAGAGCATACTCAGCTTTGCCCTGGCTCTAGACACTTCTTCTCTACCAGCACAACCTACTTAAGCTAACTGGCACTAACACCACAGTATCTGAAGCTTACTGAAACCAGAACCCCTGAGTCTTAATCCTTGGGGCTGTTTAGTCGTATCTCTTCCCTAGTATCTTTTTGCTGCTGAAAAATTTTACAGACCCAAGGAAAAGACCCAACATCTGTTCATCTAAATTTACTCTTGTTCAGTTTGGTCAGCTTCCTAACCTTTTAAAAATTAGTAATTCAGTCACATAAGAATCTAACTGTGTATACAACATGGATTAGGTTTTATTTGACTCTACCATGCTTGATACTCAGAGACATTTTTCATCCAAAAGGCTTAGAGGCTGATTGAGGTTTTTCATGAGAAGGCTGCACAAGGCTTCCAACCAAAGGCATAGCCTCCACAGTCCACAGCTGCCATCCTCCAGCATTCCAGAAGGGAAAATAGTAGCAAGAAGTATCTGGAAGATCCATGTCATTTTTCTTCCTTGTAAACCACGACTTGTTACATGTATTTCTTGATGAGATTTCTATTTTGAAAGATACTGATGTACCATCTGTATCTTTTATGCTTCTTATTTCTTCTCCATCAATATGTCAGTCAGCTGCTTGTCAGAAACACTTAGCTGCTGACAGGTCCTCATAACCTGACTAAGATAAACTGCCAAGAAGTGCTTGCACTGGAATATAAAACATACAAACCTGTTAGGGACAGGCGGTGCCAAACTCAGCCAGTCTAACCAGGTACTCTCAACTACCATCATGAAATGACAAGGAAGTCTGCTGTGGTTTCAGTCAGCTTCTTCCTTGCCCTCAGAAAGCTATCATGGCCATAGTGAACATCCCTTCAGGGTCTATTCCACTCAGTGCTTCTCAGATTCTTTCAGTAAAAGACAGCCAGCCCATAAGGACAGGTAACAATTCCATTTTAACAGTATGCTCAGAGCCCAGTCTACTTCCCTTATATTTCCATAGTGAGAATAGGAAGGGGAAGAAGTAGCGGCAGAACTTTCACATATATTGACCTGTACACAACTCTGGGGAGATGACTTTGTTGGTCTTTTATGTCACAGAACACAGCTTTAAATCTTGAAGGGGTCCCAGGTCAATCTTGTCATTTCATAGGTGAAATACACTTATGGGACATCAGCTGTGAATATGACCTCTTATTAATGGGATACCCGACCTGGTACCTAGTTCCCAAGTGTTTTAAGAAGTTAACAGTGTAAAATGCCTTTGGCAAGGCTTAAGATGTAATGACTTCATCTGAGGAGGGCAGTACCTTTCCCATTGGAATACAGTATATGAATATGTCCTTGCTTGATGCTCAGGACTGGCAAGGATATGCAAAGGTGGTTCTGCTTCATAGGAAGGTTGAGTATGGTGTCAGGCTGTCCTATGGGTTGTGGGAAGACACACCTCATGACTAGAGCTGGAGATATGTGAAATTACTAACATCCAATTTAGTTTATATTTTTATTAAGTCACTTAATCTCCCAGTATCATTCTCCAGAATATCCTGCTGATCTCCCCAAAGCTTCAACCATGGTCTTTGAAATAAGGAAGCAAGAAACTGATGTTCTAAAAATGACAGTGCATTTTGGGAAGCTAAACCTAGAAGAGATGACTGACGACAAGGACAATAAACTACTGTTTGTTTCTACATGCAGTAGAATTACCATTTTGTGCAACTCTTAAACCATGAAATACAGGAAAAACAGTTTCTCTCCTAATCTGACTATTGTGGCAAGAGCCTTCCCTATCCTTACCAGTAGGCTGTCACTCTTCCGTAGCACTGAGAAGGCAAACGCAGGACATGAGCAGTAATGACAAGAAGCCAAACAAGTGTATGTTTTACCAGAACTTCCAAGTACCTAGAAAGAAAAGGACAGTTGGGATCAGACCTCAAAAATGAGTGCTTCTGGTTACCACTTCTTTCCCTTGACTTTACCCATTTAATGAGTCAGAGTTGCTCTGCAAATTATACTGGAAAGAACTACAGTAATGCTTTACACAAAAGGGGAAACTCAACTTCTCTTCCCTCCAGCAGACAGGCTCTTCCTTATCTCTCTGTTCTGCTCTTTAGGACTTCAGACAATGGAACTGAAGAATTTCAGCCTAGTTCAACCTTCCATACAAGCCATTTTGTTCCTATGCCTAGTCATTCATAGAGTCTACTTGATGGGCTGATTACTAAAAGCTTTTCTTAGGGCCGGGGATTTGGCTCAGTGGTGCTGCTGCCTGCCTCACAAGTGCAAGGTCCTGAGTTCTATCCCTGGTACCAAAAACAAACAAACAAAAGATAGGTCCCAGAAGAAGTAGAAAAGGGCTTTTGAAAAGCATTTTAGAGTAGGGAGAATAAATAAAGCAAAGCATCTGGCAAAAGGGATGACTCAGCTACTCAGGATGGAGCTGCTCTGACTTGTCTCAAGAAAAGAGACAAGTCCAGATCTGCCTACTCATTCAGCAGGATGGAAGGATGATACAGATACATGAGGGGCTGGTATGAGATTCAGTCTAAGAACAAACAGCCTTGGTTGTCAAGAGGGACACAAGGGAGAGGAGGATAGTAAAATTTCTCTGTGGTGTGGATTGACAAATTTGTTGGAGAAGTCTCTGAATTGAGTAGCCAGAAAGTCTTACTGGGGGCTTGCTGTAGCTTGGATCTTGAATATCTCCAAAGGCCCAGGTATTGCAGACTCTGTACTCAGCCTATAGTGCTACTGCGAGGTAGTAGGACTTTTTGAGAGGTGGGGTTTAGTGAGAGGAAGTTAGATCACTGAGGTGTGCTCCTGAAGGAGACAAGGGACCCCACTCCCTTCCTCTTTCTTTGCTTCCTAGACCCCATGAAGTAAACAGGTGCATCTATCATGATGTATTGTTCTGCCACAGGCTCAAAGCAACAGGGTCTGGACTGAAATCTTTGAAACAATGAGCCAGAATAAACCTTCCTTCTTTTCAAGGTGCTTTATCTCAGGTATGTGTTACAGTGATTGAGAAATAACTAGTACAGGGTTTTGTTCCTAGATTTGATTTCCAAACTGGAAGTATAAGATTATTATTAGTATCCAAGGGAAGTAGAAACATCCCAAGGATTATTTTGCAATGAACTGCCAGTTACACATTACTATAGGGGCTTCAAATTAAAATAGGTTTTAAGATGGCAATTTAAATGAAAAAGCCAAGACGACGATGACATCATCATCATCATCATCATCATCATCATCATCATCATCATCATCATATTATCAGCACTTCCAGGATTCTTTACTCTTTTTCCCTGTATTGGTCACTTTTAATTGCTGGGACAAAATATCCAACACTTCCAACCTAGAGGAAGAGAGGTTTATTTTGGTTTACAGTTTCAGAGGGTTTAGCCCATGGTCAACTGGCTCCAGGGCAGAAATGCCATGGTGGAGGAAAACCGCTCACTGTATGGCAGCTAGCAAACGGGGGGAGAGAGAAAAGGGAAAAGCTGAGGGTAAGAGTACACCTTTCCAGGCCACACCCAACAATGACCTGCCTCCTCTGACCAGGCCACAACTCTTAAGATCACATTCAGCTACACAAGTGCCACAGTGGGCCATTTGTATCACTGAAAAGTCTAAAAGGTTCACCATCACTTTTTGAGGGCTTCACTAGCCCACATCTCCAAAACTTTCCAAACTCCTACTGCAAACTAGTGTCAAGACTTCTGAACCACATGGCCATGTATAGTCACAGCAATGGATCCACTCCCAGGACTAATTTTCTGTATTAGTGACTTTACTGTCATTGGGACAAAATACCACGACACCCACAACTTAAGAAGTTAATTTTGGTTCACGGTTTCACTAGGCTCAGTCCATGGTCAGTTGGTTCCAAGCAGAAATACCATGATAGAAGGGCATGGTGGAGGAAAACTATTCACTACATGGCAGCTAGCAAACACAGAGAGAGGAGGAGCCAGGGAGATTACACCTTTCTAGATCACATCACCAGTGATCTGCCTCTTCTGACCAGGCCTCACCACCTAACAACACATTCAAGGATGAACTCATCAACGTATTAATGCACTGATGAGTATAGCCCTCATCTTCAACACGAAACAAAACAAAAAAACAAAACCACACTTTTGAGTACTTGAGACTTTTGGGGGGACATTGTAGATCTAAACCATAACACTTCCATCCCAGAAAATAAAGGAACAGGTAAGGCTTTAAATAAAAGAAATAGCAGATTCAAGTATTGTGCTTTTGTTTGTCACATATTCAGTACTTGATGTAGCCATCTTGGTGCAATGTTTTGACCAAATCAGAATTGCTTAGGGATTGCTAGATTTCTAGGAATGGTCAATGGTTGAGTAAGAAGATGCCTATTGTACCCATTAAAGATTTCAGTCTCATTTTAAGTTAGGTATTGATGAATCACATTTTATATAGAAAGTATCACAAGGCCCTGAAGTGTTATGAACATATATCCTATACCACTAAGTATCAACAGAAAAACTTCTCTAGTGCCTGGCAGACTTAAACTGAAAGGAGAGCACTAAAGTATTTGGTTTCCTCCTTAATCCTAAAGAAAATTCACCAGTGTCCAACAGTGACATTAATAATTTTTGGGTCTCCACAAACTATTACCAATGGAAAAAAAGTTGTTTTTTTTTTTGTTATTTCTTGTGTTTTTTCTCTTTAGATTTAAATAAGCCTAAACCTCTGAGATTTTGCACTGACTTCAGTGATTCAGTGGCTGTTTTGTATTGCAGGTCCCTAATCCATCAGAATGCTGCTGGGACTATGTTGAATAAATGCCTGGTGGCTTGGGAACAGGGATAAAATTCTACAGAGGCTTCCTTGCCTGATCCTTTTAGAAGCTGCCAAAGACTCAAAGTAAAATGTTCAACTGTGTGAGTCAGTAAATAGTGTAAAGAAAGTAAATTTTGAATTTGTTTCTTCCTTATCCAGCAGTAGACAACTAATGAACCCAATAATCAGGCAAAAATCTAAGTTAGAAATGTTTAGAAGTGGAAATTAACCTTAGGGATAATTTAATTCATTTCCTTTACCCTTCAATGGAAAAATGATCTCCTCTTACAGGAATAGCTCCTAGTTCTTCTACTCATAGTCTGGAATGTGTATTCCCAGAAGAAATGAGATTTTTAAAAATATGCAGGAAGGCTACCGTACTCAGACCATGACTGAACTCATAGGAACCTCACTTAGAGGAAGTCTGCTGTGATTTCAGTTAGATTCTTAAGAGGGTGACCCACCTAGATGGTTATCCATTCACAGATACAGTCTTACTTTATGACTGCTCCAAGCCTTTTAGGGTACTTCACTGGTTAAGCTGTAACTATTTATTGTTCCCTGTATTTGATGCCTCTCTCTGGAAAAAGGATTATACATTCCTGTCCTACCGAATACAGATTGGCTATCTGACCTGCCTTATAGTCAGAGAAACGTAAGTAGCCAAACAGAAATGTTGAAAATTGTAGCATATCATGACCTCTTTTCTTTCTGCCATGAGTTCCACAAAGGAGTTGTTTCACCAACTAGGATTTCTGAGTGATGGTATTTTGGAGCAGAGCTACAGTTAACTCCTGATGGTATATGGCATGAATGAATATAAAACTTTGTTTTTGTAAGCCTTTAAGTTTTGCAGGTCATTGTTACCACAGCACAACTTAGCTGTTCCTGACTGAAATATCCTTTTTAAGTAAGCCAAAAGTTTCTACAAAGTAGCTCAGGTGGCACCAATAAAATGGTGACTTTAGAATAATTATACATTACACCTGGAGGACAGTAAAAATATTAGGCTGATCTATGGAATAAAGGTTGATTTGCAGAAAAGTAATGAGCTGGGTGTCAAGGGAATTTCTGACTCAACTTTTATCATCTTATCTAACCCATAAATTAAGCCTAGTTCTTACTGTATTACGATGTAGTCTTACTGTGTACCATGTATTACTACCATTAAGGCTAACTTGAGGGTGTATAAGATTTCTATAGTCTCATTTAATTCAAAGTCCAAGTTGACAACCACAATTCTAGGCATTTTTATGACTAACAAAGAAGTGTAATATAATACTGGATATGAATGACAAAAACTAAACAAGTCACACTGACTTCTGGGATAAACAAAAAGCCAAAAATAATTAAAATATTTTAAACAAGATCTTTAACATTTTAATTGATAACCACAGTACAGAACTTGTTGACAGCTAAAAATATGCTTGCTCAGGTCAAGTGTTATGCTGATAATGGAACTAAAACCAAAATTCCAAAACTAAAAGATGTGGGGAAAACTCTTAAGGGCCCTCTAGTTTAGGGTATTTTATTAATTTTTCATACCAGGGATTGAACTCGGGTCCTTGCACCTGCGCAGCACGCGGCGAAACTACTGAGCTAAATTCCTGGCCTTTGGGGTATTTTAGATACATAAAAACCAAACATAAAATACCAAGAAAGAAATCAGAAACACTTCCTCAGATACAAACAATAAATTCAGTGACTGATTAATCATCTATAAGCTCACCAGGGAGAAATTCTTTTACTAGGCAATCTATTTTGAGTAGGAAAATACCATACAAAAATTGTAACTGTAGCATCCCACACTACTCCATTTTCCTTAATGAAGAAACACTGTGATGATTTTGCCAGATCAAGGAGGTCATGCTACAATATAGAATGACAAGTTAACTCACTAAGCAAAGGTACCTCTTTGTCAAAGCAGGCTTTGCTCAAATCATTTGTCCCCATGAATTAACTGACAAATTCACTCAATGGGAGTTAACTGACATATTCTTAACTCTGAGAAATTCATTGTAAAATTACCCGAATTCAAACAATGAAAATTTTCATCCATCCTGGTCTGCAACAAAGCCTTGATAACAGACAATATTTAGTTAGTTTAGAGTTTGTAAACTCTTTACAAATAGTCTTTATGCTAGTCTCAGGTTATAAAACAAATAGCCAGATTTGAGTGTTACATTACCTTTCTGCATTTCAGTTACCTGGAAAGAATAACTACCTGAATAATTTATGGAGTTACTGGTACAAATTATCAATAATACATGAAAGTACTGTAATTCAGAGTCTGCTAAGAGGTTATCTTACCTTACTTTAATTACTTAAATGTCTAAGGATATTTTGTTAAGTGAAATAAGCCAGGTATAGATAGAAAGACAAAATATTGCATGATCTCAATTATATGTGAAATTTAATATAGTCAAACTCACAGAAGCAAAAAGAGGTGGTTACTAGGGGATTGAAAGGTGAAGGGAAGGAGATTAGGGGGATGTTGTTAAAGGGTACAAAATTTCAGTTAGGCAGGAAGAGTAAGTTCAGAAGATCTATTTTTCAATATGGTAACTATAGCTAATGACAATGTATTATGTACTTGAAAGTATACTTGAAAGTATTATATACTTGAAAGTATATTTGAAATGTATTATATGCTTGAAAGTTTCTAAAACAGCAGATATTAAGTGTTCTCATGACACACACACACACACACAAAATAAGTATGTGAAGTAATGGATATGTTAACAGCCTGATTTAATCATCCCAAAAGGTATACATATATCAAAACATAAATTTTGTATGCCATAAATATATACTTTGTCAATTTAAAATAAATTACTAATATGTTAACTTTATTAAGTTGGGTTAAAAGCTTTTCATTAGTCCAGGAAATATTTCAAGCTGCTCACTAGCTTCCACAGAGACTCATAAGGACATTATGTCCTAAGGAGTTTCTGTTGAGAATATCCCCCACCCCCAGCCTTCTACCTGGTAAACTCGCCTTCCACTGGGTGATGAAATTAAAGTAACAGACTGTCGATCAACTAGATCCAAGGCCTGGATGGCTGATGAGCCAAAGACGAACTTCAGCCTGGGAAATAGAAAGGCTTTGGATTAAAAGGGCTGATTCTCAGTCACTTCAGTAACTACACCCAAAGGATCACCATCCTCAGTAATTTTTTTTCACAGTGCTGTGGACTGAACTCAGAGCTTCATATATGCTAGGCAAGTGCTATTTTTTTTTTAGAATAACAAAAAATATTTTACTAAAACATAAGATTTACAGAAGTTTCCAGACAAGCCATACAAAATGGTCACAAGCTTTTTTTGAAGGGGGGAATCTACACTTGACAACAAAGTCACAATGTTATTAGTGAGGGCTGTGATGTTTGTTAATGTTCCCATTTTGGTTCAAACAATCAGTTTGTCCATCTATATTGTCTAAATAAAGTTAGACTTGGCTAGAGAGCGTATTTTAGAGAATTGGTTAGCTGCTTTTTAACCAATGCAATTAGATCACCATAAAAGGGGGGAAAAGGAGCCCATAAAATTTTGAAAGTTTTTCCCCTCAAAAAATAAAATAAAGAATACCCATACCCCTGCAGCTAACCCTGACATTCACAGTGCTTTATACTTAAACCATGATGAGGGAAATTAATAAAACCAGAGGGCCACTGCTTTTAAACGTTTCACAACAATCCTGATGATACTTTTAACCTCTGCTCATGCTTTACAACAGTGAATCAGGACAAGACATAGATTTTCTAATGTGCATTAAATCACCAAATGACTGAAAATGTCTGGGCTTTTATTCTGTAATGTTTCTAAGACCGTGTCCATTAAATGTAAACAAAAAAGGAAGAAGTCTTGGCAGAACAGAAGTAACACAAACTTGATGATCAGATTGACTTAAATATTATTTATGGCATACAGCTTAGTCCATGCTCTAGCTGTTTCTATGGCTTGGGCTTCATTGATCTTCCACTGCTCTGCTACATCGTTTGCTAATGGGTCGTCTGGATTAGGAGCACTTAACAAGAGCAGAACTGTGCAGATCTGCAGTGCTGGGGACCATTTATCTTTCAAAATATCTAAACATATTCTTCCCAACTTGTCTACATTAGGATGGTAAATTTTGGTCATGAAACATACTTTAGGTGCTGCCATTGGGTATTCTTCTGGAAGAAATAGTTCAAGTTTAAAAGTCCCTCCCTCAAAGGGGGAATCCTGGGGGCCAGCAATGACCACATGAAAATAACGGGTGTTGCTCTCATCTGGTTCCGCTTTAATGCCAGGAACTGGTTTTGCTAGCAAACGCTGAGTTTCCTTGATGAGCCCAGCCATCTTGTCAGATCCCATCTTCGGCCTCTGGTCACGTCTACCAAGTGCTCTCTATTGAGCTATATTCCCCATCTCCTCAGCATTTTTAACTTGGAATAAATGAAAATATGGGAAAACATATGGACTCATTTATGCTCCAGAACTAATAAATGTTAATATCTGTTCACTTGTTTCAGATGTTCTTGCTTTTGTAAATAAAAGGAGTAAACTATAACAGATAAAGAAACCCTCTTTATACTTTTTTGTAGCTCCTTATATTTCTTCCCATCTCCTTTCATCTCTTTGGCAATCACATGCATTTTTTTCTTCTTTTCTCTCTCTCCCTTCCCTCTTTTGGTTAGCAATTGAATGTAGGGCCTCATACATGTTAAGCATCTGCTCTACCACTGAGCTACATCTCCAGCCCCAAATACATGTATTTATTTCTTTCCTGTTAATGTTATGTATTTTATTATATACAGGATATATGTGCACATATATTCATATATATCTACATATATGTATGAATATACATATGAGATTGTTCTATAAATCTTAAAATATAACAGCCATATTACTTCATTTTCCTATGAACTAGTGACATGTACAAAATTTGGGGGGAATGGGAAAGGGTGCTTTTGAGTTTTTAACAGTAAACACGACAATATAGTCAACAAAGAAAAAGAAAACTTGGTTAAAACTTTATCAATCAGAGATAGTAACAGTTAACTTTAAAACCTGCTTTGTCTACTTTGTGACCTATTGTGAACATCTTTTGACTACATTAGATGTTTTTCTGTTATATCACTCTCTCTTTTTTTTTTTTTTTTCCCGTACTGGGGATCGAACTCAGAACCTTTTGCTTGCAAGGCAGGGGGCGGAACCACTGAGCTAAATCCCCGGCCCTGTTGTATCACTCTTAATGGCAACAAAGATTTCTACTGGAAAGATCAATGACTTTTATTCTCCCAGACTATTTTGAATACATTATTTCCAGGTGGTTTTGTTTTGCTGCTACCATAAAGCAGACTAGATGAATGTGCTCACTGTAAAATCTTTATAAACATATATGATTACTTTCTTGGAATACATTCTTATAAGTGGGTCAGAGAATATGTATGTTTTATGTCCAGGCATGGTAGCATATGCCCGTAATACCAGTACTCAGGAGGCTGAGGCAAGGTGATAGCCTCAAGTTGGAGGCCAGGCTGGGCCACATAGTGAGTTCAAGGGCAGCCTGAACTGCACAGCAAGACTCTTGTCTTTAAAAAAAAAAAAAGAGTATGTATGTTTTAAAGCTTTATTGTCTGTTGCCAGGTTACCTTCTTACCAAGAAGGTATCATTTACCCCTTTCACCATATTCTTGCCAACATTTTTGCTGTGGCTGCCAGTTTTATAGATGAAAAGTTATCTTAATTTATATTTTTAATGGTCACTACTAATATTTATCATTTCTTAAAAGTTTTTGACTATTTGCATTTTCTCTGCTTTTATTTTTATTTTTTTGGTACCGGGGATTGAACTCGGGACCTTCTGCTTACAAGGCAGGCGGCAGAACCACTGAGCTAAATCCCTGGCCTTTCTCTCCTTTTAAAATAGGGATTTGCCTGAACTACACAGTGAGATCCTGCCTCAAAACAAACAAAAAACAAATAGTGATTTTTCTTCTAATATATAATCCTTATAGAAAAATATGCAATTGTCATTTCTAGGTAGCTTTTACTTTTTTGTTGCCATTGAGAATATAATTATATTTTCTGATTTTGTGGAATAGAATTTTTGATTTTGGTGTATTTGTTTTTATTATTTTGCTTTTAAAGTAGTTATATCATCTGCAAATACATAATAATTGTCTTTCTTTGAAAATAGCTATACTTCTATTTTTTCCATGTGTTACTGTAATAGTTACAATTTCTACAACAGTGTTAAACAAGACCAGAAAATAGGACAATATGGTATTAACTTATACTGTTCAATATGGTGTGGCCATTCATTTGAGATTTTTAACAATCATATTAAAAAACTGTTCCTAGTTTAATAAGACTATTTTAAAAAACCAAGAGTTGATATTGAGAAGATCTGAATTAAAACATACTAGTAGTTTAAAAAAAATCAAACACAACAGGGTGTGTACTTACGATAATAGATGCTCATCAGGAACTGTAAAATGAGAATGGAAAAAAGGTTAACCATGTTAAACTAGTGACCACAGACATAATAATCTTAAAAAAAAACTGTAACCAAAAATATTTCTGTGTAAATGGTTAACTTGACCTATACATCAATTTTATTCCTCAAATTCCACTAAAACAATAATCAAAGGATTAAAAAAATAAGTATGAGCCATGGTTGGTGGCATATGCCTGCAATTTCGGCACCCTGGAATGGCTGAGGCAGGAGGATCACAAGTTCAAATTAGTGAGACCTGTCTCAAAAGAAAGGTAGGAAGGGAGGGAGAGGAAGGAGGGCAGGCTGGCTTGGGATGTAGATCAGTGCAAAGGCCTTGGGTTCAAGCCTGAGTAGCACATATATAAATAGATAAATAAAGGTATAAACTCCCAAGGAGGACAGGGAGAAACAATGAGCTAAAATATTTTGGAAGCTATAGAAGAGAGGAAAATAATTTGTGAGACCTGAGAAAAATAAATCCTTACCCTACCAATAGAGAAAGCCAGGTACCAACTTGACTGATACTCTAGAAATCACTCCACATCCCCCAACCCCAAGTACCTGCCCCTCACCATGCTCTCAACTCAAGAAACCTTCAGAAACTGGTGGCACCAGATACAGGGTCAAAGAAGGACACTAAAATAAGATTTTTAAAATTTTTTAATATTTAGTTTTGGTTTTTTAAGACAGGGTCTCACTATGAAGTTCAGCCTGGGTTTGAACTCATTTTTATCCCAGCTGCTCTCCTTAGCTGTAGATGACTGCTGGACTCTCACTCTGGCAAAAGACTAGGCATGTTTTTTGGAGATGTTCAAACACAGTATCTGGAGCAGTTCCACATACCAGGTATGGTGGCACTAAGGACGTCACATGAAAAACAAGGAACTTTTTGCTCTCTTCCCCAACACAGATCCAGTAATACAAACAATAGGGCTTTCACCCCTAGCAGGATCTGGTTTTTGCTGGGAACCCAACCAACCCAAGAGGAATGACAATGAAGTGGATTCTCTAACTAGTCTAGTGAGAACAATTACAGTGACATTGGCTATCCATAAGCTCCTCCACAATCAGAGCCTTCCACTCTTAAACATGACTAAACAACTAAGGATAACCAGATAACAAAGAAAAAAATACACAGAACAAAACAAACAGAAGAGGGCTGTTATAGAAAAATGGCAGAAAAAATTCCAACTCTTTATTAAAATATCATCATAGAAAAACATGCTAATGCAATCACAACAGGAATCGGGTGAAAACAGTTGTAAATTAAATATGACAGCAGAAATGGAAAATCCAACAGGAAAATACACTTGAAGTAAGTTCCCAAGAAGTAGAATAAATAAAAATGATAAATATAGTGGGATGGGTAAGTCACTGAGAGGAACAATAAAGGACATTAAGTAACTGAATCAACAGGAACACAATAAAGAACAGAGAAAACAGTTGGAGGGAACTCATCAATCGAGTCAGTCAAGAAAATTTCCCAGATGTGAAGGACATGAATTTCTAGCTTGAAAGGGTTCACATTAGTGCCCACGTGGTAGGATGAAAAAACAAAAACAAATCTTATCAGAAGATCTGGAACACTGATTATAGAGAAGATACAGTTGGCCCTTAACATCCATGAGTTCCACATCTGCATTTTCAACCAATCTCATGCCAAAAACAAGCAAACAGAACAAAACCCAAATTAAAACTATGTCTTTTATTTGGTCATTATTTCCTAACCCATACAGTAAAACCCTTCTTTACTATCATTCACATTGTATCAGGTACTGTGAGTAATCTAGAGATGATTTAAAGTATAAAGGAAGGGCCCGGATTTAGCTCAGTGGTGCTGCCACTTGCCTCGGAAGCCCGAGGTCCTGAGTTTGATCCCCAGTACCAGAAAAATAAATAAATAAATAAATAAAAGTATACAGGAAGATGTATGCAGGTTATTTGCCATTTTATATAAGGAACTTGAGTAACAATGATATCCACAGGGGTCCTTCAACCAATCCTCCACAGGTACTGAGGGACAAATGTAATCCAAATTTCCAGAGAAAATAAAGGTCACATGCAAAAATGAGGAGCAACACTAGATGCTAGAAGGTAGAATAATGCTTTCAGATATCTGAAGAAATATTATTTCCAACATATAATTTAATACTTAGCCAACCTATCAATTAAGCGTGAACGTAGAAAAATCTTTTTCAGACTTGCAAAGCCTCAAAAGCACCATCTCATGCTCCCTCCTTCGGGAAGCTACTCCAAAAACAAGGTAGGAAACCAAAAAGAAAAATAAAATTGTAGGATATACTAAACATAAGACCCAACACAGGTAAAAGAATTTTCAGGATAATAACCAAGAAGGGAGACCAATCTCAGGAGACAGCCAAGAGATCAGCTAGTCCATAGTAGGCAACCCAGAGGCTTTAGGAGAGATTTCAAGAAAATTCAACTTACACAAACCTCATTCATCTGAACATTTTGAGTGGATATTTAGAACACTGGGAAAGAATCTGAGATTGAATTAGGGATAAATATACAGAAAACAAAACAAACAAAACCAAGGCAATTGTAACTCCAGGGAAACCAAAAAGTTACACAGGAAAGGAATAGTAATCAGAGCTTCCTACATGGTTCAGCTGTGAGCAGTGTATACATCATCATACAAGTGTAAATTTGGAATCTTCATCTAAAAAATTACTCCTGAGGAATGAGGATTAGGAACAGGATTTTGAAAATGCAGAAACTAGACTAAGGTTGAATCAAGCCCAGGTGGTAGTGGAAAGGCTGGGGGAAACACCTGAAACATGTGGAATCCCAACGCAAGGGTCAAACCCCAATCTACCTAACATGTGGTACCCTGGAGGTTCCCATTTTGTGTGTCCACCACATCCACCACCTGTCAATCCAGCCTTTCCTCCTGGCCCCTGGTCCCCTCCCCTAGAAGCTCCCCCAGGGAATCCAGCTTTTTCTCCATGTGGGCCCTCTTATCCTGTGGCCCAGTCAGGGTACCCAGGAACCAAAGCTCAGGTTCCTATCCTCCATACCCACTGCTGGCTCCTCCTGCCATGCCTCCTGTGAACCTTCTGGCTCCTGGGATGTTGGGCCCAGGAATGGTGATGGACAAGATGCAAATGAATATGAAGAAAGCTCATAGAAAGACACACAACACCACAAGCGTGCCAAGCATTCCTCCTGTTCTAACATTGACTCTGAATACAGGGCCTGGACTCTTCCCTTAAGTCTCACCAGTTCTACTCTCCCATCAAGCTTCAGCTGTCATGGGTTGTACCAGGGGAAATTAGCCCTTGTGACCCCAGCCTTCCTGAGCCTTATCCTGCTGTTCAGCCCTGACTGGCTAAGGGAAATGGGAAGAGGATGCCATGGGATAACAAAGCCATCCTCTTGCTGCTTGATAGATATTATAGCTGAAGAGTAGCAGGGAGTGGTTTTTGAAGATGGTGAGATCTCTGAGTTGACTACTGAAGACAAGCTTAAGATCTGTAAAATGTGACCTTTTTTCATTTAAGACTTATGGTTCGGAGTTTTGTACGTAATTGTGGCACATTCAGGTGATCTGCAGCAAATATATTTCCCAGTAGGTATTTTATTGATTGTACTAACTGCAAGGCCGCTAGGAAATAAGAGTGTTTGATTAATGAGTTCTGATTACCCTTTTAGAAGCTGATTGCTATCCTTAGCTCAATATACTAGCTCATTCTCCAGCTTTCAGACTAAATAAAGCTATTTCTCTTGGGGAAAAAAAAAAGATTTTGAAAATGCACAAAACAGTGAACCAACGAGCCATGGGTGCCAAGGGCACCTACTGGGCTTCCTTCAAGATTGTTCTTTTTTTTGATACCAGGGATTGAACTCGGGACCTGGAGCTTTCCAGGCAGGCAGTGGAACCACTGCGCTAAATCCCAGGCCCAAGACTGTTAATGAATGTATGGATTAATCCATTCTGACAGACCCTCATTCTGACAATGGTTCTGTAAAATAATAGCATTCAAAATTCTGAGGCCCTCTATTAGAGTCCAAGATGTACTGTGTGAGCTGACAACAGCTTTTCTCCCACCCTTTCTAGAATCAGAACATGTTTGAATACCTGGCTGGCTTAATATTTTAATAATTATTACTTAAGCTTTATTACTTGACTGAAATGAGAGAATAAAAGTTACCTTACTTTCCTGTCCTTTAAAAATAGTAAATGAAAATGTTCTTTCAAAGGGCACAAAAGACATTAAAGTCAATAAGCAATCGCAGTTGTTCTGATACCTAATTTGGTTACAGAGTGGCCACCTTTACATTGGAAGAACAGTTCTAATTAATCAATAAATTTTGATTAGAAGGGGCTTTTTTGTTGTTTTGAGGCTTTGCCCCTCAGTGATTTTGGTGAACAAAGGCATAGAGCACCCTCTGCTGGTCAGAAGAAAAAAGGTATTTTCACAACATCCAGATTTCCTCTAGGAACTGCGTATGCATTTGAGCGATGTCTGCGACCCTAAAATATTTACTTTCTGAACAAAATGTATGAGAATACTAACTTGAAAGTTAACATTAGGATTTGAGAAAAGTGATAGGTTTAATAATTCAAAATTTTACTTTACAACTCACCGAAGGCTTCTGCCCCTTCCACCTCTAGCCCTGGGCCCCTTCTCAAATGTGCCTAGCGGCTCTCCAAGCACTTTGTCCCCACTGGCCTGCTCGCTCCCCCAAGGAAGGACCCCAGCAACAGCATTCTTTAAATATTTGCTGAATAGATTTGACTTATTGACCAAAATTTCACTATTTTGCTTTTTAATTTTTTACGACCATGGGGTTTAGGAAGAACTATATAGGGCTTAGGCCAAGGCACGGGGAACGGGGCGGGGCTCAGAGCCCATCGCCCCAGGTTCAGATGGGCTCCCCCTCTTCCCGCCTCGCAGATCACATGGCCCACCCTGCAGCCACGCACGACTAAAGCCCTTACTTCGCGCGCACTCCCGCACCGCCGCGGCCATCTCGCTCAAGAGCTCCTCTACGACTGCCGGTAACGCGACGGCCATAGCGCTAAAGGTTGCCCACTTAACAGTGGAAAGGCTCACTCAGGTTTCCACCCAGACCGCAACCACCTGTGGAAGAAGCCCGTTTGGGGCAGAAGGCAGGGCTTCGGAGTGACGTTAGCGTGCGTCACCGCGCATGCGGACAAAAACGCGGATGCCGTTCAGACGTCACGACCTGACGGATCTGACCAAGGTTCGGCGCAGGGGACTGGGACGTCCCGGGATCCAGCCAGGCCTGTAGTGCGCGTAGAACGCGGCTGGAGCATGTTCCGCCTCCTGAGTCGGACGCTGGGGCGAGGCTTTCTGCGGCGTTGCCGGGGTTGCTCGGTGCGCTTGCTCCCGGGTCCAGCGGAAAGCCAGGAGCTCGAGGTGTTGGTGCCGCCCCCCCGAGTTGCGCCGCATGCCCGGGGCCCGGGCCTGCTGCCACTGCTGGCAGGTGAGGGGCGCGTGCCGGGCGGGGCCAGTCGGGCGGGGCCAGGGCCGTGGGCCGGGTCCGGTGACCTCAGAGGCCCTTCCCGCAGCGCTCGCCTGGTTCTCGAGGCCTGCTGCAGCAGACGGGGAGGAGCAGCAGGGAGCAGGCGGGGCCTCCGCCGCCGACGCAGCGGATGAGGCCGAGGCGGAGATAATCCAGCTGCTGAAACGAGCCAAGGTGAGGAGCTTCGGCGAGCGCGTAGTCTTTGTGGGCAGATCTGGCGGCCTTGCTGCTGCGCATTACTCCTAGTTTACCGAAGCATGGATAATGGTTCCGAGTAAAATTGCCCAGAATTAGGTGGGGCATTGGTATGGGATCCATCCAGGCCGGTCTGTCTCTAAAGCCTGCAGCAAAACTGCTGCAGTCTTAAGTACAGGTGGAGATGGCCCCCTAATTTTCATCCAAATTATCGAGAACATTTTGTAGTTGTGCTTATCAGTTAAATCAGCCAACCTGAAGTGACATCATTTTGCACATACTGTATATGTGGCATCCTGAATATGCAATTTGGTGTTGGTTGTGCAGCTTGCTTCTTTTCTAAATTCTTTCCTCCACATCCTGTCTTCTTCTCCCCTTCAGGATAGCTCATCTGTTTCATTGGGCTAAATACCAACTTGATGCCAGTGTCCAAAATGATATTCTCAGTACGCTACTGACATGCTATTTCCATTACCTCTCAGACTCAGTGTGCCCAAAACTAAACTCTTGATCTTAAATGCTTCCCCAACACACTCTATCATCATCTTCTGTTTACTAACTTCACTTTCTTGGCCTAGACACTTCAAAGTCGTTCTTTTTGTTCTTCATTTTTGAGGCAGGGACTCACTGTGTAGTTTAGACTAGCCTTGAAGTCACTATGTGGTCCAGGCTGGCCTCAAATCATGGTAATCCTCCTGCCTTAGCCTTCCAGAGTGCTGGGAGTGCTGGGATTACAGGCACTCGACGCTGCGCCTGGCCTCAGAGGCAATCTGAAAACTTGTACCTTATCATATTCTTTTAATACACAGCAATAATTCTTAGTTCCACCAAATCCAAAATATTTCTCACATCTGTTCTTTTTTCTCTATTTCCCCTGCTGTCCTGACCCCACTGCAGTCAGTCTGTGCTGCCCTCCTCTCCCTTACAAACCATTCTGCATACAGTAGTCTAAGTGATGTTTTTAAAAATGTAAATGAAAAAAAAAAATAAATGAGAGCACTTCACCTTCTTGCCTGAAAACTGAATTCCCACTACATGAATGGTAAAAATCTAAGATCCCTTCTGTGGTCTGCAAAACCCTACATAATTTAAAACAGCCTTTCTCACCCACCCATTGTGTACTGATCCTCTGGGAAATCATCACTCTTTCACATCTCTTTCCTTGTATTCTAAAGAACCATTCTGTTGGGGTAGGGGCTTCATTCATTCTCTTTGGGACATTCTCTGCTTCAGTTCCTTATTTAGTTGATTCATTTTCGTTCTTCCTTAGTTTAACTCACTTTCTTAGAAGATTTGTCTGACTTCTGTTGGAGGAGACCCTCACTCCTTTCCATTGTTTTTCTTCATAACTTTTTTTTTTTTTGGTACCGGTGATCAAACTTGGGTCCTTTCGGTTGCGAGGCAGGCCCCGGAACCACTGAGCTAAATCCCTGTCCCTTCTTCATAACTTTTATCATGAGTTGTAATCAAGCTTACTTTTCCCACAGGATCTCCTCCAGCCTTCAGAAGAAGAGAGGAACAGGATGAAGGGCAAGCAGTTTCCTTATGAAATATAATGTAAAGATTGCTCACATTCCTTCTGCCTGCATCTGTTGGGCAAAACTTCATAATGTGGCCACACTTTGCTGTATGGGAAGCTGCCCTTCCTTGTCACCTACGTAAACGTAATGCCTCCTGCACAGCAGGAGTAAATATCTGATGAATAGCTTCTTTCTACATATTGGGATATATATAGCTATATCTTCTTTTGTCTGTTAGCACTTGCATCTACTATGCTTATATTTGACTTAGTATTATTTTATCTTCTTTTTTTTAGTTGAGCATCATGAAAGATGAGCCAGAAGAGGCCGAGCTAATTTTGCATGACGCTCTTCGCCTTGCCTATCAGACTGATAACAAGAAGGCCATCACTTACACTTACGATTTGGTAACTATTCTAACCATTCTGAACTACTGATGCAGAAGGATAGATGGTGTAGAAGGGTTATTTTCTTTGTTGGTTTATATTCCTGACATTTAGGATGAGGACATCCTAAGCTCTGGTTTTTTTTCAGTCCTGGCAAGGTCAGTAGTAAGACATCTCAATTGTTGCTTCAATAATGAGTAGACCTAGATTTGGTTATCAATAGAGTATATGCAACAAAGTATTTACTTCTCATACCATTGCTGTACTGAGCTCCTAGCAGATTACTTTCTCCACTTTGAACTGTCATTTTAGGGGTGAAAACAAAAGGAAATTCTTAGCTTAAAGGTTTTTGACTAAGTAAAAAAACATAATGTTCTAAACTGGACAATTTATAATTTACTTTCAGATGGCCAATTTAGCATTTATACGAGGTCAGCTTGAAAATGTAAGTAAATCATCTTGTAATATCTTGAATTTGTGAAATACTAACCTCAAGGGAACTGCAACACAGGGTATAGGCTAAGCTCCTGTCACAGAGACCCCACAATATAGGTTGTTTTTTTTTTTTAAATAGTGTATTTCTTTTTTAATACTTTAGTCTATGGGTAGGCTAAGGACTGAAGGGCAGGTTAGGCATCTCTGCTGTCTGGTCCAGAAGCCAGGTTTTTTCCTAAGGTAGGTCCTCCTGTGCAAGGGTGAGCTGATTCACTTCCAGCCTCACAGGGAGAAAAAGGATGAAGGGCAAGCAGAGTCCTTATCAAATATGGTTTAAAAGTTGTTCATGTTCCTTCTACCTGCAATTCTTGGCTAGAACTTTTTATGATCAAAATTAGTTAAAAGGAAAGCTAATCTACTAATTGGGAGGATTTTATAACTAAAATAAGAGAATGGGGTATTGGGGAAATTAGTCTTCCACAATGATTTGGATAAGAAGTTAGCCTTTGAATTAGTTTCTACTCATCACAAAGTAGGTTAAAGTACACAGGCTATGGGGTCCTGATATTTTGGTACATTCTCCTTTCACAGGAGTACTGTTTTCTGTATTTATCAGTGCGTGTCTTTATAAGGAATGGTCCATCAGACTGGTACTTAAAATTCAGGATCATATAGATAATAGGTCTCAAATAAAAGAAAACTCTTTTCTTTATGCTTTTAGGCGGAACAACTTTTTAAAGCAACAATGAGTTACCTGCTTGGAGCGGGTATGAAGCAGGTAAGGACATTGTGTACTACTTGTCCTTCACTGAGGCAGTTTGCAAGTTGCATTTCCTGAAAACTCCCCCATTCCCCAAAACATTGCTTTGACCAAAAGAGGTAGATTTTATTTTGCTCCTAGACCTTTGTGAAAATGGCTCACTCTTTCAAAAGCATGATTGCTGAGGAATTCACAGTTGGCTAATTTTTCTAAAAGAATAGACTGTGGTTTTGAAGTCAAAATCAATCTAGAAGTTGATATGAAATATTCCATGAAAAAATTTTACTTGTCATGAATTTCTTTTTTTTTTTTTTTTTGGCATAACAGGAAGACAATGCAATAATTGAAATCTCCCTGAAGCTGGCCAGTATCTATGCTACTCAGAATAGGTAAGTAGTCAGAATCTAGGTGTGGTAGCAGTCAAGGAATGACACTGTGGGCAGAAAATGTTGACCCGTGGGGTGTTACCTAATCTCATTTACCTATAAGTCATCTATGGCCTCCAGAAAATTGGGTGTCGTACTCCCAGTTGTCCCATACTTCACCTTTGCAATTTTAAGGCTTTTTTCATTTTACCCCTGCTGTTTTTTCATTAGCCTGCTATGACAGTCCTCATACCTCAGTCTACCGTATTATAAAGCTAATCAATTTTCTGTTTTTATTTGAAAGGAGATGGGAAGTTAGAGTGGGAGATGGAGTTTAGATCTTCCTGTAAGTGGAGGGAACAATAGAAAAGCTGTGGAGGATGATAGACTTTGAAGAAGCCACATTGCTGATTATAGGCATCAGCAAAAGAGGAAGTTAGGTAAGAAGTTAAGTGGTGAGAGTCACTGTGGGAATATCTTGTTGCTTATTTTGTTTTCTGTTGTAGAAAATAAGTGATTATTTTTAAGGCCTTAGCAGAGGGTTTAGAATAAGATATTCTGGGCCTGGGATTTAGCTCAGTGGTTTCGCCACCTGCTATGCAAGTGCAAGGACCCAAGTTTGATCCCCGGTACCAAAAAAAAAAAAAAGGTGGATCTATAGAATAAGATGTTCAATTTAAATGACTTGACCACTACCTTTAGAGGATATAGAAATGTTGATAGCTAGGTTTCAGGAGGGGAAAATAGCCAGAAACAGAAGGGGGCCCTTTGGGTAAGTAAGTCAGGAAATGGGTGCTACTTTTAAGATAGTGCTTAAGTCTAAGTTACCAAGAAGAGACAGCCAACTCTACAGGAAGGCTTTAGATATGAGCCAAAACCTGGGAACACTTTTATTACTGCCAGTCTCTAGGTGGAATTCAAAGATGAAGTAAAATATATCAGAAAACTCCTCTAGAGATTTATATTTTGAGGGTCATTAATTTAGAGAGAGAAGTAAGGCTAGCTTCGTTTAGGGTATTAGTTGCTGCAGAAGTTGATGCTGGAGGTTCAGACTGACATCAAGCCAAATATTGTACAAAGGGTGCTCATTGACTCCAAAAGCCCTGGCACTGGTCCCTGCTGCCTTAGTCACCAGCTCCTTCATTCTTAGCCAGGCCTGCTTATTCTCCCTGCAGCTTGATTGCACACTAGGTAGGCTAGGACTTCTGAGAGCCTTTGACTTCAGGACTTCTGAAGAGCTTTGAGTTTGGCTGGTGCCAAGGAGTATTGCAGCTGGGCTCAGTTTCCCTTATAGTAGTATCAAACAGGATGAAGTCTGATCTCCTGGAATAAGAAGCCCATAGCCAATAACACTGGAAGGTAAGATAGATTCATAATTAGTCTTGTAGAGGTCAGAGCCATTGAGGTATCCATTAATGATTAGCTTCTAAGTTATTCTGTACTTTTCAGAAATGTGAGCTTTTAAAGGAAGCCATGGACAAGCCAGGCATGATGGCACACGCCTGTAATCCCAGCACTCAGGAGGCAGAGGCAGGAGGATTGCCACAAGTTCAAGGCCAACCTGAACTACATAGTGAGACCCTGTCTCAAAAAAAGCGCCATGGCCAGGTCCTAAGGCTTAGAAGGTCTGATCTGAGTAGGGAGGAGAGTTGTTTGTAGACATTTTGCTCTGACTGGGAGCCTCTTATGGCAGTCTCCTTCTCCCACATATCCTGGCCAGAGATGGTCCCTCTTAAGGTTTGGGTCCAGTGTAGGAAGTAGACACTTCTATTATTCTGAGAAGAGAATAGAACAGCAAGACCTTGCAAAGCATTAGAGAATAATCAGCTTTGTAGTGGCATTTCTAGTAAGAAGAGCAACAATGAAAGCTGAGTTTTTGTGTGAAGGAGTTTTCTGCTGTGTTACTCTGCATCTCTGTATGGAAATTGGCAGGAGAGTGAATCTGTTTGCTTGGGTGCCCTAAGTTGACTGGATCCAAGGCTATAGAAATGGGCTAAATATCTTCCCACACCATAGCTAGGAGATCCATTTCTGTAAAAGAGACTGATTGGGTAAGTATTAAGTGATCAAAGCTCCCCAGAAGCTGCATGAGGGCCGAAGGTGGGTCCTCCTGTGCAAGGGTGAGCTGATTCACCTCCAGTTTGTGTGCGGGGGAGGCTCACTCTGCAGGCCAGCATTACTTTAACTAGGTGTGAGGCATTCCCATGTGGAGAAATGGACTTAATGAACTGTGTTAATGGGGGATGCTGAAAGACTTCCCATTATGCCAGTTAGGAAAATTTTGGCAGCACTATTAGTTTTTTATGTCTTAATTTGCCTTAAGTAGATGACTTTAGGAAAAATAAAACTTCTGAGGGAGTGACAGCATAAAGAGACATTTAACAAGGTCCCTCTTTCTCTTACTAAGATGGCAAATATGAGGGCAAAAGAAGAGTTTGAGGTAAATGGCTGATTATCGCTCTTTGTTTCACAGACAAGAATTTGCTCTTGCTGGTTATGAATTCTGCATTTCAACTCTAGAGGAAAAAATTGAAAGAGAAAAGGAATTAGGAGAAGATGTTATGTCAGGTAGGAAACTAAGTCTTCTGGGTATGTCTGTTCCACAAAGGGCTTCACTGCTGCACTTTGAGAAGAAGATGCCTTCATTCTGGAAGATGTTTGGTTGTTCTAAGGCCTTAGCAGAGGGTTTGAAATATTTTGCTTAAATGACTGGACTGTTGTTTTTTTGGAGATAGGGTCTTGCTATATAGTTCAGGCTGGCCTTGAACTCACAGTAATCTTCTTGCCTCAGCGTCCTGAATGCTGGAATTGCAGGCCTGTACCACCACGCTCAGCTTTTTTTTTTAACTCCTTGGTGACATTTTTCCTTTTTCTTTTCTTTTTTGGTACAGGAATTGAAGCAGTAGTTTGGTAAATCCCTGAGTTGCCCAGGCTGGGCTTGAAATTGCTATCCTTCTGCCTCAGCCTCCCTCACTGCTGGGATTACAGCTGTGCACCACCATGTCTAGCTGACATGTTCATAATTTATCCCTTAACTTTTAGTTACACATAACCTTTAGGAAATTAGGGAGCAGAAAGTTCAGTCTCTAATCAAAATGCTATGTAACTATGCAGGTTAAAGATAAAGAGAAAGAATCTCATGTTTCTGCAGTTCATTCTCACTCATGGGAGGATAGGAACAAGTGGAGCATGCAATAAAGTCTTGAACTCTTGGCTGTTTGTGTTTCTTAATTTAGTTTGAAGTATTAGGAATTTTAAGATTTGACATTTCATTCTGTAACTCAGTTCAGTTACTCCATGCCAAGAGCTAGTGAGATACTAGGAATACCATGCTCAACTGTATCATCCCTGAAGTAAGATACCACAAGAGTTGTTGGTACCCAGTTGTCTTCAGATTCTTTCTTGAATGTATGTAAAACTTTCTTCTTCATTGTTCTACGAAAGCCACTTTTATCAAAGTCACCAAATGTGATCCTTAACTTACTCATTAGTAGCCACAACCCACGGAATCCCTGTCTACTGCTAGAAACACTCCCCTTGGCTTCTGGGGCACCTCACTGGTCTTTTCTTTTTCCTTTCCTGACCTCTTAATGGTGATGGGCCTCAGGACCCTCCCTCTTCTGTTTTCCTTCTGCCTTCATGCCCTAGCATGTACCATGTAGTCCCTTACCTTTCACTACAGTGATACTTCGGTTCATGAATGCAAATTTGGTTTGCAAACAGAAGAATTGGACAGAATTTTGTTTTTGTTTGTGAACTCTGCATCACATCTTTTCCAGAATTGTGGAATGTATTAAGTTCATGAACTGAAGCACTGGTGGAATTACACCTTCAACCCCAACTTACATTCAAATAGCTGCCTTATGGGTCTACTGACTTACGGGCCATAACTTGACTTGAATGTTAAATGGTCATCTCACACTTAACACATCCAAAATAGATCTCTTGATTTCTGCCACTCAGACTTACTCTCTAGCAGTGGGCTCCAGGTTAGTAATGGCACCAACATTCACCAGTTGCTTTGGTCAAAAATCTAAGAATTGTCTATGATTTTTTCCTTCCTCATACTTTATCTCCATCAGCAGGTTCTACTGGATCAACCATCAGAACATGTCAGACCATATCTCAGCCCCTTACCCACCTGCTGTAATCCGAGCCGCCAGTGTTTCTTGCCTGGTTTCCTATAATCTCAAGGTTTTCTTGCCTCCTTCCCTTCACTGCCTCATGTGATCTGTTATCCATAAAGTAGGCAGAGTGATCTTTTTAAGACCTCCGTGTCATCGTATTACCATTAGAGTGAATTCTGAGTGCTTATGTGGACTGCTAAGGCCCTCTGATTTGGCCCCCACCTATCTCTCCTATCTCACCTGCTGCTCTCCCTTTGGTCATTTCCCTTTTACCGCGCTGGTCTTTTTGCTGTTTGTGTGCATCTCAAATTCTTGACATCTCAGTCTTTTCTCTCTGTATTCCTTCTCCTTAGACTCTTCTCCCCTATCCTTTCATCGCCCACCTCCTCACTTTATTCAGGCAGGTCTTTGCTTAAATACAGTGTCACTTCCTGAGAGGTCTTCCATGACTAAAACAATTGTCTATTCCCAGTGTGGTTTTGCTCTTCTGTCCTTTACTTTTCTAATCATCCTGGGAAGTAGAGGTGTGTTTTGTGTGCTTGTGTTTATATTGCCAGTAAAAGTATATTTTTGTTCAAGTGTCAAAGAGAGATTGAGAAGTCATCTGTTTTGCTTATTACCAAATCCTTGGTACCTAGAACAGTGCCTGGCACATAATAAAAGTTCAGTAATTACTGAATGAAAGAACAAAAGACTTAACAGTTAAGACTGACAAGTAAATACAGTTTCATTGCAGTGTGAAACCTTCAAAAGATGTAAAAACAAGTCTTATTATCATATATGTGAGGTATTCACACACCCTTGGCTATCTTACATTTAGGACATTGATGTTAGTTTCTTAAGAATGTAAAGCTACCTTTTTCAACTCCAAAAGTAATGCCAAAAGTAATACCTTTTTCAACTCCAAAAGTAAAAAAAAAAAAAAATTCAAGAAAGTAGCTTTTATTTCTTTCTTTCTTTATTTTTTGGTACCAGGGATTCAACTCGGGTCCTTGCACTTGCGCAGCAGGCGGTGAAACCACTGAGCTAAATCCCTGGCCCTATATATTTTTTAATGTTTTGTTTTTTTACCTTTCTCCCCTATGCTCTTTATGTTTTAAAAAATAAATTAGGGATCATTTGTAGCCTATTTTTTAAAATTGGTAATATATTGTGAAAATACCTCTTTTTCTTGAGCCAAAAGAATTTTTGACAGAACAAGCTAATTTCTATTATAAATATTAATCTTTTTCTAGAGAAGAAATTAATTTCTCCTTAGCTTTGAACAAAACAAATTACAGATTCATGTACTTTTTTTTGGGTACCAGGGATTGAACTCCGAACCTTGAGTTTATGAGGCAGGCGTGGTGCCACCGAGCTAAATCCACAACCCTTGATTTATGTACTTTTATTGGTGTGACTAACCCTATCCTAAGAAAACATTACTTAAGATCATGTTTAAAACTTGGTATGGAGTAGTTTGTTTCTCATGTTGTAGATATATTTGTAGCTGTAATTAGGAAATGCCCATGAAAAGTTAAGTGAAAATGTCAGTTACAATAGTTAGGAGGAACCTAATTTTCTAAAATGTATAGATTAAATACAGTGATACAAGTTTATATTTGTCTTTTTAAACTTAATTTCTATTGCTATGTATATAGTATACAAAGTCAAATAGTATTACAAAGCTTTATCTAAAATGGGATTTCCTTGCTGAATCTCAAAGAATCTGTTTTTAACACAACCAGTGTCTTCTGGTATTTACTTCCACATTTCTAAATAACATAAACTTGCTGTTTCTTGATTTATTGTTTTGGGAAGCTATTGACTCATGAACAAGTAAAGATTTTTGTTGTTTTTGTTTTTTGTTTCTTTCTTTTGAGACAGGGTCTCACTATGTAGTTCCGGCTACCCTTGAACTTACTCTTATAGTCACTCAGTGATCCTCATGCCTCAGCTTTCCAAGTGCTGGGGTTACAGGTGTGGAGCACCACGCCTGGCTTGGATGAGTGAAGACTGAGCACAGCTTTTGTTTGTATCTGTATTATGAATATATAAATAGTGTTGTTTATGGAGCCAAGTATAATATGATTACATAATTAGGCTTGCAATTTTATATATAACTTTTTGCTTTTTCTGTACTTGTTTTTTTGGTTGCTTGATTCATATATATATATGTATCTCCACACACACATATATACATACATATGTGTATATATATATGACATTCTTAACTGTAATACTTACTTTTTGGTGCTTTTGTTGTTTTCTTTATGATTTTTTGAGACAAAGTCTCACTGTGTTGCTTATACTGACCTTGAGCTGACTGTGTAGCCCAGGCTGGACTCAAAATCACTGTGATCCTCCTGCCTCAGCCTCCCAAGTTGCTGGGACTACAGGCATGCACCACTATGGCCGACAGTTTTTCAACTTCAGGTTCTCCCGGGGTCCAGGAACTCATTGGCTTACTTTTTATTGGCATATCTGGCTTAATCATCATTGTGCTTTGTATCTCCCACAACTTTTTGATATTTCGCATCTCCTTTGATTCTTCTCTACTTTTGTTATCTTTGTAGCTTTTATTTGTTTCATCCCTGAATTTTTATTGTGGTATTTTAGGAAGGAATGGAGATGAATGCATGTGTTTAATTCAGAATGATGTATCTACATTTTAATCCAGTCTCTTGTTATTAGACATCAAGGTAGTGTCCAGATCATTTTGTTTGTAGAGTACATTCTTAGCACGGAACTGCTGGGTCAAAAGCAGCACATTTTAACGTTAGTGAATATTGCCAGATTACATTTGAAAGAACTACGTCAATTTCCCTTTCTTGGTTTTGCTATTTATTTACTTTGTGACTTAATTAAATTTGTTAATTGCTATGTGTTTTGGATCTCAAGAGTAATATTCTTTAGGAGGATTGAATGAGTTAATGGATATAAAACACTTAAAATAATGCCTGACAGCTGAGAATTTAGCTCAGTGGTTCTGCTGCCTGCCTCACAAGTGCAAGGTTCTGAGTTCGATCCCTGGTACCAAAAAAAAAAAAATGCCTAACACGCAGTAACTGCTCAAAAAGTTTATTACTTTTAGTTTTTTGGGGTTTTTTGTTTGTTTTTGGTACCGGGGATTGAACTTGGGTCCTTGCGCTTGTGCAGCAGGTGGCAAAACCACTGAGCTAAATCCCCAGCCCTATTACTTTTAGTTTTGATATTGGGGTAAGGCCATGAGCCCCTTGTACTCAAAACTCACTAATTTTTATAGCTTTGTGGTAAGACATTGATAGATTGTCTGGTTTTGGGGGGTTTTTTTCCTGGTAGGCAGTGAGGCTTACTTGTTTGCTCCTTTTTGTAAGGACATTAACTCTCTGGGTTCTTTTCTCTGATTTGTATTTATAGAATGGTTAGCTTTCTGTTTTTAATGAAAGGGGAATGTGAAGCTAACATTTGTGTAGACTTAAC